CAGTACTGTGTTTACCATTTGTTTTATGATATAACACTGATGCACTGTAGCCAGAGTTTCCTTTTATTTCTCAAATCTTACGTGACCAAAAAAGACAAGCGCGCGGAAACTAGTGTGCCTTTGCTCATGTCAGCAGCGTACACCCATGGGAAAATGGTGGACACTGAATTGCCGAATCAGAGTGTGTTCTTTACTTTGGTTATATTAATTCTTTTATATCTCACTTATTCACCTTGCTTACTCGTGAGGGACATCAACACCCGAAGATCAAATTTGTATCCATTCTTGGTTATGTAATACCAAGAGAAAACAGTATCTCACCATTTTCTCTTGGTAATATCCTTTTTATTTCTGGTAAAGGAATAGGGAAATGTTAGGAATCTAAATAATTCATAAGCAAACTTATATCTTAAAACGTTTAAAGGGATCGAGATCCTCTCTTGATATGCATGTAGTGTTTTTGACAATATCCACCGCAAATAACTTAAGGAGTGATCACAATATTGTATTTCTAGGTCAAAATGATTACTCTGCGTTAGCAGGTGATTATAGATCGCCATCTTTTCTGTTCTTTCTCCTTCATTTAAGAAAGCATACGCTCAAACTGGAAAAGCTTGTCGCTAAAACTGAACATTCTAAAACAGAAGTTCTCTAAAACAAGACAGGAGTTATCTCGACAGCCATGCAGAACAAAAATATTACAAGGAGCTGATGAGAACTGAAAGTTCAAATGATTAAACTGCGTGGTTTTAGTCTGTCTGATCAGTAGAGGAGGTTTCGCGAGTTTTGAAGATCAATCGTATTTTTCTCGTGGCTCACTCAAAAGTGACTTCATAAATATGGATAAACAATTTATAGAAGACGAAAGAAACTACCCCTCCCTCAATAGGTTGGCTGGCAAAAGGAGGGGAAAAACTAAATATGCCTTAGTACTGTAAATTGTATGATACATTGTCAATCGATATATAGTGATAAAAGTGATTAGTTGTAGTCTAGACGTTTCTTTTCCGAGATTTTGTTTTCTTCGGCAATGTAATTTAATGTCAAGTTTTCAATTTCCTCACGTAAACTCTGCGAAACAGTACAGTTGTTTTTTGCCTGGGGCAATAAGAGTTGAGAACACAGTATGTAAAACAACTTTGTTGCTGACTTGAAATTTTTATTCTATCCTTCCTAATGTTCTCCAGCTATGCAAATATGATTGGTTAGAATTTTCCCCAACCAACACACTGTCGCTCCTTTTTTTAAGAAGCGAAGGGCAGTGCAATACTAAAACTGTTGACAAAAAACTTAAAATGATGATAAAAATGCACTAGTTGCTTTAAAAGTACAATAACAGCAGAATAAAAAATACACACTATCTCGAAACCAAACGAGGAATTTTCAAAACAGAAAACCAGACGGAGAAGCGATTGATTCTAACGACCTGGCAGCTCAAAATGTTTACGGTTTAGAAAAAGAACTCGTTTTTCGTATTTCTCCTAATAAAACTATCTTGGTCACTTGAACATTACTACGTCTGCATGCAATTTGAAAAGGCAAAGAGATTCTGTAGCTCTAAATGTCAGCCAAAGAAAATGATACAGCCTCCACTGTCCCAGCTGTCGGTAACGGCTATTTCTTGGATTGAACAAAAAAATAACTCTACTGTCTACTAATGCTATCAGAAAAAAAGGAAAGCGGTTGGATTATATTCAGAGATTGAGCTATTTAAGTTGACAAAGAAATAAAATACAAAATTGGAAAAGCTTTGTATATTAGTATTTCAATTATAATATTTTTCTCATAGAGGCAATAAGACTATGTTTAAGCGCTCAGAATAATTTAAACATGTTTGAAGGTATTACCTCATATAAATCTAACATCTTTAAACTGTAAC